AGTTACCTAAAATTTCCATCAAAACATTACTGTTCTCTTTGGATTATTATTTGTAGAACATGCTGTGTTGAAATACTAATATTGTACCTTAAATGACCCCTTGCAGTTTGCTTTTCTACATTATTATCAATGTAAAAACGAAACAAAGATTATTGCAAGGAAAAAAGATATAAAGATTTTGAATTAAATATTTGATTTCTTTTATCTATCATGTTACCATTTCTGAAGTTTGTAACCACTTTTATTAAATCAATCTTTCTGAATGATAAAGTTTAAAATTGTATGAAGTAGTATAAAAAGTTCATGTGGCATAAGCAGCCAAAACACTTTAACATTTAGATTTACTTTTTTGGATTATTAATTGAATGGAAATAACATCATTTGATTCTAAAACGGTTATCATTTTAGTTTTAGATTGTGACCTGAATAATCACGATAATCAATTAACCAAACAATCTTGACATCCTCTACACCACAAAATTATTCCAGTGAGAGCAGTGTTTTAATATTTTGTGAATATATTTATAAGATAGACCTTGTTTCGTAATCATTTATTTCAATGACATCTAAGCAACTATATAAAGCTTGTGTCTATTTTCGTCTTCCAAAAAAAGACTTCATTTTATTGATGGTGATAGTGTCTCATACTGTTTTGGAACATTGAAGAAAGTATAATATTTTACCACCGCATCAGGAGAAAAGGGATGAAAACTATATATTATGTATTAATTGACCATTTAGTACCAGTATACATCGATTGAACGAGCAATTAGTTTTGTCCTGTCTCTCCATATTTTTCAGAAATAAAGTACTTCTTTTGTAGAGAACATTAATTGTTTTTTAAGGAGAAATTGATTATTACATACATTATAAATTATTATACATGAAAAAATTGTTACTATATGCACTTTATCATAAAAGGTATTTAGAATATTAAAATGCAGTGGTTGTCTAGACAGAAAATAGGCATAATGAATTGATGTGATAATGCATGTCTATTACATCAGTTACTATGATGAAGATGTGTGAACCTAATAAAATTTTTGTTCAAGCCTTTTAAATCTTTAAACCTTTTCTTGTTTTTTTTGTTTTGTTTTGTTTTTTCTCCAAAATTAGTGAAATCCAAATTACAAAGTGTAAACCCCCCCCCCCCCCCCCCCCCCCCCATAGCCACTGTCTGTAGTAAATAGTGTTTTGTTGATGCTGATTGGCTGACAGCTCTCACCTCATTCATTCAAGTACTCGTTTCCTAGCAACAAAGGGCAAATAGAAAAGGAAGTGTGAAGATGAACCCATTCTTGGAAAAGCTGCTAAAACAGAGGGTTCACAGATCAATAATGAGCAGGCTGTTTCCACTCTGCTGTACCTGGCAAATAATTTTACATGATATACAATACACACATACTGTGTATTTACTTGTTTAGTAGTAGTGATTTTATAAATAGTTATGGCAATGTAATATTTTCTATATAGTGAAAAGTATGTTGAATTATTTAATTATTTAAATATAATTGACAAAAATATATTATTACATTTTTACTGATTATCTTTTTTTCTGTCTACAGCAAGATGTTGAGAAGTTTACAGACATCGAAAAACTCTACCTCTACCTTAAGTTGCCTTCTGGTCCCAGCAGTGGCAATGACAAAAGGTATTAACCCTCACACACACATCATCACAAACAACAAAATACAGATTTATGTGATTACAAACAGGTTTGTTTATATGAATGAATGAATTAATTTATAAAAAAAGAAATAAAAAAGACACATTTTTATGTTTGACAGTGACCAGAGTTCCATGTCGTCGAGCCGTACTCAACAAATGTATGCTTTCAACTGGATTCGGAATCACCTAGAAGAGCATCCAGAGACGTCCCTTCCAAAGCAAGAAGTTTATGATGAATACAAGTGAGTAGTTAAGCATGATTTTTTCTGATGATTGACCATTTTCTTACGGTGTTATTTTGTTACCCTAAAGGAGCTATTGTGACAATCTTGGCTACAATCCACTGAGTGCTGCAGACTTTGGGAAAATCATGAAGAATGTCTTTCCCAACATGAAGGCGCGTCGACTGGGCATGAGGGGGAAATCCAAATATCCTTTTATGATATGCATCAGATGATTGTTGTTATATTAAACATCTTGTCAGCTTTCAAATAGGGAAAGCTCAGAAGTAGAACATTTGCCCAAAACCTAAAAGGCTGGTGGTTTGATTGGTGCATTGTTGCCCTTGCTCATGTATGAGTGTGTTTGTGTGAAGGTGTGATTGTTTCTTTGGGCAGCTGTGGCTACAGTATTTTACCACCACTGATTCTGATTCAGAAATGACAGAATAGATGGAATTGGAAAAGGTCTTGGAAAGGTCTCAGTCTGCGTACTGAAGGACTAATTATAGAACTAATTGTCTATATCTGCAAAAACATAAGTAATATTTGATGGTAATTACTACTACTCATTCAAAAAGCCTTAACTCAGTCCTACATATTGTTATAGCGGGTTAAGGAAGAAAGCTTTTGTGCACATGCCATCTTTACCCAACCTGGATCTCCAAAAATCTGGTGATGGGGTGAGTACACTCATAAAGCCATACTCACAATTAAATACATTATTATGACTCTTTATCTATCTCACCTGCCTGTGTTTTGGATCATAGTGCGAGTTAATGGAGCCCAGTGGTCAGTCCCCGAGTGCAGAGGATGAGATGCGGTCGGCGGCTTGTGGGCTTGTTTGTGAGTGGGCACAGAAGGTCCTCAGTCGTCAGTTTGATAACGTTGAGGATTTGGCCCGCTTCCTTCTCAACAGCCACTACATCGGTACAAAGTCTATGGCAGCACTTACTGTAATGACGGGAACACCAACAGGTACAAAAGAGTTGGTGATTTAGAAAAGTTTCCTGTTGCATGCTATCTAAATCCATTTATATTCATATATTTATTTAATTACAAGAAGTATTCATTAATTTAAGAAGTTATTTATTATGTTACACAAAATTTACTTAGAGAAATAGATAAATTGTGCCTAGTAAGTGCAAAGCTAAATAGGCATCTCATCACATTTCTGTTATGTTCTCATCCTAGTGTACAGTACATTCATAACAAATAATGCGTTCATACATTCAAGTTGTTCGTTTTTATAAAAACAAGGTATTTTGTAAGAAAATGTGTTTTTTATCTGTTATCCAGGAATGAAAACGCCAACTCCAGCATCCGCGTTTGTGCCCACAGCAGAGGCAAACTCTTTCCAGCCTCAGGTGAAGACCCTGCCCTCTCCCTCCGTTGACGCAAAGCAGCAGCTTCAGAGAAAGATCCAGAAGAAACAACAAGAACAAAAACTGCACTCCCCTCTGCCCAGTGACGCCCAGGTGAAGAGGACAGAGGCCAGTACTCCCGGCCCAACCATCCCCTGTGGCAGCCCCGCTCTGCTCTCCCCTCAGCCAACCATTGGCATTGTAGTAGCAGCAGTCCCCAGCCCAGTCACGGTAACTTGACATCTTTATTGTAGTTTGCTACCTATTACCTATTACATTTTATTAGTATTATGGCCATATGCATTTATGCATGTATGTTTATAATACTACTATTTTTTTTTCTTTTTCCCCTAGGTACAGAGAAATAGGCAACTGATGACCTCACCCAGCCCTGTTGGGACAGCAGAAGGGAAAGTGTTGCCTGTTAACTTCCAAGTCGTTACACAATCTATCAAACAATCACCCAAAACGCCTCAGAATATTTCGGCCAGTCCTGTGGGTGACCGCCTGGCACGACACGGGACGAGGTACGCTCAAATCCTGCCCAAACCCTCCGCCACCAGCGCCATCACCCTGCGCTCCCCTCCCACGTTACTCATCACCAACAGCCCCATAAAGACTGTAATGCCCACCCCCCACGTTAGCTCAGTCAATGTGGTGAAGATGACGGCCATCGCTCTGGCTCCTAGCAGCAGCAGCACAACTGTGAGACCAGCCTCAGCTGGAGTCAACACCACTGCAGCATCTGAGGATTCACAGCCACATCAGCCACCTGCCGTCAGAACGAGCATTGCACCTTCAACTTCTGCTCTCTGCACTGACCCAAAGCCTGAACCTGGAGACATACCTGCTACAGAGAAAATGGCTGTGAAAGAGGACAGAGTGGCCAAATTTAGAGCAGCCAGTGAACCGAGCTTCCTGGTGAAGTGTTCCCCGGGACCAGACAAAGGAGGGAGGCTAAAAAGTGACTCCATATCCTCTGCTTCTGTAGCTGGGACTCAGGACAGCAATAACAGTAACTGCCATGACAGTACCTTGTATTTGACTGTTGATAATCAGAACTCCAATGGCAACACGTCCGCCAATGGCTCCTCTGCTGTTTCTCATGCACTCAAAGACTCTTGCCCAGACACCAAGAGCCCCCGAAAGCGCACAGGCCCGGGCGGAGAGTCGCCTGTGATTCCTGTCAAAAGGGTTTTCATCTCCCAGCAGCCTCTGGCTGTAGTCGACAATCCCAAACCTGGTGTCAGTGCTGCAGTGAAGAGGATCCCCCGCCCAGGAACACCCGCCCGACCAGAGAGTGCCCCCTGTAAAGTGACTGTGAAGCAAAGCCCCATAGGACCTCCACAGATTCTTGCACTGTCCGATTCGCCCATCACCCACACTCCGACTGTTGTTAAGCCACAGGCCTTGGTTTTGGTGAAGCCTGAACAGGGCTCTCTCAGCAGTAATGCCACTGCTGCTGCCGCTGGGAGCTCCGCTGTTGACCAGGCTTTACTGCAGCAGATCACTGGAGACCCCCGTGCCATACCAGCCAACTCAGGAGCACACGACGCCTCTGCAATGAGTGACCTAAAGAGCACAATCTGGGAGGAGGGACAGCTTGATGAGCTTCGGAAACAAGCGTTTGCTCAACAGATACCAGCAGAACACAAACAAGCCCCCACTGACCAGCTTTCCATTATATCTCAACCTGCAGAGGCCTCAGGCCAGCTCACTCTGACACAGGAGATGGTTGACTTTGCAGGTTCTCAGTCCAACATGGACTACTTTCCCTTCAATGATGATGACATGACACAAGATAGCATTGTGGAGGAGCTAGTCCAAATGGAGGAGCAGATGAAACTGAAAGGTTTGTTCGGTGGTTGTGTTGAAGTGGCACTTCAAGGCCAGACCCAAAATAATCAGACCTCAATACTTAATACTCATCAGACAGGCACTACCTTCTACCACTCTGCACACAGCAGCACCACTCCTGTTCAGACACCCACCCCAACCCCTACGCCCACTCCGACACCCACCCCCACGTCAGAGATGACATTGGCACACACGCTGACCAGAGAGAGCCCCTGCTCTCGTATGGCCCCCATCACACCTGTAGACAGCTCCATGGGTCGCCACACACCAATCAGCACACCTCTGTCCAACTGCAGCAGTAGTGTGCCTCCCAGTCCAGTCGAGTGCAGGAACCCTTTTGCTTTCACACCCATCAACTCCAGTATGACAGGTTACCATGATGCCAGTATTGTGTCCAGTAGTCCGGTTAAACCCATGCAAAGGCCAATGGCGACACACCCAGACAAGGCCAAATTAGAGTGGATAAACAACCGTTACAACAGCAGCACTAGTTCAGGGCCCGTGAACAACCATAGCATTGGCATTCTGCCTAGTTACCAAGACCTGGTAGATGACCAGTTTCGCAAGCCACATGCCTTTGCTATCCCAGGCCAGTCATTTCAAGCACAGTCCCGACAGGATGCTGCTCACCTTGGACGTTTGACCCCAATCTCTCCTGTTCAGCAACAACAGCAGCAGCAACAGCAGCAGCAGGCAACAGGTGTCACCACTCCCACTAAACAGGAGAGCTTTGCTGTCCCCGCCCCTTTGGATAACAAAGTTTCCACCTCCTCTGCATCCAGTACTTTCCGTTGTCGAAGTGTTAGCCCTGCAGTTCGACAGAGGGACTCTGGTGGTAATTCTGGCCCTCCCACCACACCCACCAACACAGCCTCAACAGCACGAGCCGTTGTGTCACCCTTTAGCTCCCCCATCACTTCTGAGGTGCTAAGCATCCTGTCCAACTCACAGGCAGTCAGCTCGGTCCACAGTATGGTGCAGAGGAGCCAGTCTGTACCTTTAAACATTATGATGCAGAGTGAGATGCTGCCGGTGCAGCAGAGTAACACCGCCAAAATAACGAACGTTCTCCTCAGTAAGATGGAGGCCGACGGGGATGAGTCTGTTCGTGGCCTGGGCATTAACAACCTTCCCTCCAACTACACTGCGCGCATGAACCTCACACAGATCCTTGAGACCACTCCTGCCTTCGCTGGAGCAGCTTCCCACCAGAGCCAGCTGCCTGTCAGCTCCAGCCCTGCTGCCTTCGAGCTCCAGCAGCACGGTTACCTCAGCACGGGCAGCGGAGAGACGGCCTTCTCATCCGGGGAGGCCCAAGCACAAACGGGGCCGAGTGAGCCGGAGCCGCCCCCGCCGCTCCAGGACAGTCCCACACAGACACAGCTCCTCCTCCAGAGCACACCGCAGCAGGACGCGGAGGATGAGCAGCAGCAGCTGGATTTCAACAACACTGTCAAAGACCTGCTGGGAGAGGACGGCCTGAATCCCAGCTCTCAGCTGGTGGGGCAGGTAGCGTCCGAGCTCAATGCAGTAGCGTCGGATTTCTCCAGTGACATCAGGCTGCCCTCAGATCTGTCCAGTAGCATCACTGATCTCAATACGCTAGACACCAACCTGCTGTTTGACCCGAACCAGCAGCAGGAACAATATGAAGACTCGACACTGGAAGAACTGAAAAACGACCCGCTGTTTCAGCAGATATGCAGTGATACTGTGAACTCTGGTTTTGACTGGCTTGAGAGCAAAGACCAGCCAACGACAGTAGAGATGTTGGGCTAAGGATCTTTAATTCTATGTTTGTTTGGTGCATATGTAGTATATCTGTTTTCTTAAGAATAGTTTGTTGGGATTTGTCTGGACTTTGCCATTAGTTCTGTTCATAGTGCCAGAGTCACCAGAAAATATCTACAACATTTAGTTACTGCTCTACTTTTCATTTGTCAGCCAGAAAATCCTCCACATCTTAAAATGAAAACATTTGAAGTATCATAATTGTTTCTACAGCAACATACAAGTGCAGGCAAGTATGCTATGAACATTTAAGAGAAACAGAATCTTCCATGTTATTTCAAATCAATAATGCAATATTTGTGTTAAATTGTTATTTAAATTTGTAAGTAGAGAAATTGGCACAATACGTCACCAAAAATGTATGCTATACCTTGTGTTCATTGTGTGCAGTAGTACAACTTTAATCAAATTAGGTTAAAGTTTATGCACAGAATAGCTGTAGTACATTTGCCTGCCATATCTTAATATAAACGGTAGCAACTTTTGCTGCCAGGTGCTGAATTTACAACATAATCTTTATACTTTATCATATACCAAATCAGTGGAAAGCTGATTTACATCTAAGCATTGTCCAAGTGTGACATTTTCTTACTGTTTAATATCTTAAAGGGAGTAGATGAATCAGTAGGCAGAAGATGGGAGTTTTAGGCCGCTTTGTGGACTAATACATTTAAAGGAATCAACAACTGGCTGCCTTATCCCCAAAGTCCATGGCCTTAAACCATCCATAGAGATTGACTGTATATAGTACAATGTCAAAGTCTGAACCACCCAGAGCTTCATCATATCAAGGCAGCTGTTGCTCTGTTGATCTTTTCACTACTATTTCTTGTTCTGTTTTCTTCTGCCGTGTTACCGTGTAAATGTTTTTGTATAGGTTGTGTGCCCTAATGGAGATTAAGGAATTCAATATGCTCATTATTCACCCAACCATGGAAGGCACACATAGAGTCTTGAGATTTCCTTTGGCATGCTAGACTCCCAGCGCAGATTATATTATCAATGGTATGGAGAAGGCTTTAGTTGTAGGCTTTAGGCTGAAACCCTGTCATCTGCAAATCAAGAGGAATCCAGCCTTATATCCATACCAAAGATGATTTTTAATACCATAAGAGATTAGTACATCTGAGGAACATAAAGAACAATGGGACTGGGCTGCCTATGAGATATTTAAGAGTTTAATTAATTAAGTTGCATAAATCTTATGTACAGTATGTAAATTAGTGAATCGGTCACTATGATTTATAGGTAATCGTGGACCTGAAAGCATGTTGAAACCATCACTGCTAGCCAGGTAGGCTCCGTGATACAGTAGGATGCTTGCTTGAGTTTTTGGCTATCGTCAATGTTGTATAAGTCATGTTTAAGCTCCATTTGTAAATAGAATAGATACATAGAGATTTGATGTATCAAGACACTATATTATGGCCATTATTCTACCTAATTATGTGCCATTTAAAAGAAAAAATCATAACAGATCTATAGTCGCAAGATACTGTATGTTGTGTGTTACATTTTTGGCTCGATGTGTTGTAACAGTAATGCTGTCTGGTCTCGCTTGCTGATTTTACTTTCTTTTTGTTTTCTATTCAAAGATAATAGGTCTCTGCAGTTGCAGAAGTGATGTTTTGCTTTGAGCAGGATCAATAGCATGGTATATTGAGAAAAAAGTTGTGATACTGTTAGCTGGTTCAGACATCTCTGTGACAGACTTTGTGCTCGGAGCCTTTGAGCAGACACTGGAAAATAACTATTACTCATGTTTCAACTCTGGAGGTTCACCTTTTTGCACTAAATTTTTATGACACATGGCTTTGACACATCTTAATGGACAAATGAAATGATGGATGCCCGTAAAAATGAATAGAAAATATATGGTGAGTAAGGAAATTGTCAGTAAATGACTAATTGTCTTGTAGCAAAATGTGCATTAATCTCAGTGAGATACACATTTCTTACTCATTCTCATACATGAGAATATAAGCATTGAGGGAAAAAGTTGAAAACCTTTTGAAACCTACATGCTCATTATGTTGATAAATGATTGTACGCACGCACGTGTGATGATTTCTGTTGTATTTTGTATTCTTGATAACCACTGTCTTCTGTGATTTGGGCAGGTTCTGTTAAACCAGACTGGCAGTGCTAGTTTCATGAGTTACATTACTTTTGTTGTGTGCTGTTTACTAAGTTAATGTTCTTAACGTTATGTTGATGACTGTTTTGTTGTTTGTTTATATTTTACATATTTTGTTTTTGCAAAAAAAGCATTTGTGAAGAAATTTTACATTGTTCTTAACTTTTCTTTTACAACAAGGCACTGATTTTTGAAATTTGGATGAAGGAATTGCACCTCTTATGAGTACAAGAGCTCCATCAAGCAGTGACTTTGAACTTTCCCTTTGACTGACCCAGATCCAACTGTTTGACTGTCCATTTCTACAGTAGAAGAACCCTCCTCTGTGATGTTGTCTGGTGTACTGCTTAATGTACAGTAGCTTGTTAATATTGCAAACGCGTTGTTTCTTTTTCAATGGAAAGTACTCACTGGTGAGATTTTTAAAGTGGTTTTAAAAGCCAATAAACTTTTTTAAAGAATGATTGTGTGTGGTTTATTGATAATAACTTTTATGCAGCAAATACAATGACATTTATTATTGGCATTAATATGGTTCTTTGTCAGATACAGTTGTTTCCTATTTAATAAAAAGTTTATACCAGAATCTGCTTTCTGTGTTTTTACATAAATAATAATGACTCTACATCTTGTAACTTTATATATTATATTTGAAGTTAGTTGGTCTGATCCCCTTTTTCTGGTGCATGGTAGGTGGCTGCAGCTTTGGCCTATCACGATAAGAGATGCAACAATATTTGGGGCTCAATATTTATCCTATATACCCTTTCTTCACACTAGTGGGGGAAATTTTCATATTACAATAACATTTGAGCTCAAAAGAGTCAAATAAATGCTTTCTGTGTCTCATTCCAGATACTGACTGATTAATTGTTTCATTCTTCTATTTATTTGTTGCATCGATTGTTTTTAACAATATTGCCCAAGAGTTATTGTGGAAGTGTTACAATATAAACATTTATTGGGATATTTTCTGAAGCAATACATTTGTTATTATGACAGACCTAAAACTACTAAGATTATATTTATACTATTTTATTTATGTCATTGTCTTTTTTGGCTGAACTGAAGCCTAAATCAATGGTCCTGTGACGTAATAGTATTGATCTTTGCTTACTCTATTTATTTGCCTTTGATTCATTACCATACACACTTTTAATATTTTCACCACCAATTCAAAGCCTGCATTAAAACCTTTCCATCACTGTCTTGGCAAAAGGTTACAGGTCACTGGCTCTCCCAATGACCCCAGAGGGCAGTTGGGGGTGGCCTGTCCCAAAGACAAGTTTTGACCAATCAGAGGCGAGCATGAGCATCCCCTGCTCTGCTTTCCCAGGGCCTAGAGATCTTCATACATGTTAATGACCTTAACCCTATTGATCATGGCCGAACAGCCTATGACCTGCAGCCATGTGCAGTCCAGGCCAGCACTAACCTCCACCTACGCACCACAACAGAAGTGAGTCTGCAGATTTCACAATAGGAGAGAGATAAGGGATTTTGTGTTTGTAAACAATGTATTGATAGTAACTGAATGAACAGCTAAGGCCAGAGGGGGCAGTTAAAACATTGTACAACAAAAATAGTGATCTAGTAACCTATGTACCCATATAAGAACAACCAATAACACGCATTTTCATTGTGGTCATTTCGTGAATACCTCAGTTTGGAGCAAGACACAAATCAAAATTGCAGATTGAACGGTTGCTATCGGAGGTATATATTTTAATGTCATACATACTAGCCTAAACTTCTCCTCTTCATGGGTTCTTATTATGAAACTGGCTAACCTTACAGTTTTAATCAAACTAATTATGCAAAATTTCATGTGAATCTTGACAACAAAGAGTACATTCACATTTTTTAAAAACTGCTGATTAAACATGAACATTGTCACATTGAGTTTTAGACTTCATTCTTTGTCAGTGCTCTTAAGTTACTCTACACATTACCTCAAGTACAACTTCTTTATTATCTTTATCTGTCTTGTTTTTTCCTATCAGAAATCTTTAATAGCATCATCTAAAATCCAAACTATCGAGTAAACACTTTACGACGTACTATAAACAACAAGCTATTGGTTTGTGGACATGAATTATGATTTTAACCATAAGGATCGAGATGGTTAAATCAATTGTCGGCAGTAATCAATAGATAATTACACTTGGCTCTCCTCACTTTGATTGCATATTGGAGTGCACAGATGCATCTTAAAAACCATTACACAAGTATACCACAAGGTTACTATTATGATGAAATGTATGTAGGATCCACTAAATGTGATTTTGCTTTATCTGTGTGTATATAGTGCTGATTCGGCAGGTTTGAAGTCACAGCTGGAGCCCATTGTGTAACTATTCAATGACAGGGAGGCAGAGAGAGAGGGAGAGAGAGACGGTCATTGTCAAAAGGCACGGTCGCCCGATCAATATTTGAATTCATTAAGCAGCTGACGTGCAGCCATCAATATCTCTTCATAATTACCAGCTTCTGTTCAGAGCAGATGCTGTCCAATGACCTTTTACCAATCACCCCCACCCGACTGATCATTCACTTTGGTCTGTGTATTTATCTGTGCATTTATTTGTGTATATGTGGAAAAAAACTAAACAAAACAGAAAACAGGAGCAACAAGAGTAGAACATGTAGGAAGAATACTACAAATTTACCACAATGTTCACAAATTGGTATTTTCTTAACTACCTATAGCAATTACTTCAAATATTTTAGTGCCAACTTTTACATGCTGCCAGTGCCACGACAACATACTAAAGGTCCTATTACTGTTTTGATTACAACAACAACACCAAGTATAGGCTACTAGGTATTCTACTACTACTGCTACTACTACTACTACTACTACTGATATATCTACTAAGCTCTGCCATTCTCTAATTGTAATAACCACTGCTCTGTCCATTTTATCACACTTTTAACTTAAAAAATGCAAGCAGTATTTTCAAGAAAGAAATTATTAGTTTATTATTTGAGTAATATATCAAAAAGAAATCTTGGCCTCTCAATGTTCCAAGTGCTGTCCTTGTCTGCTTGAATTTATGAGGAGAGTAATAACAGTCTAAAAGTGCAGTACAGTAAAATATAGGCCAGGGAAAATATTATATAACCTCCAGGTATGCTTCGCCACTACAAAAACATTCTTTTGGTGCAAAGGCATAAATTTGAGAAAAACTTTGAGGCCTTCATAACACTGGACTCATTTAAAGAATAATTTAGCCTAATAATTTAGAAATATGTAGTCAATAAGTCAAGTCTGTAATGAATGATTAGTAGCACTAGCATCTATACCTTTGCAGAAATAGGTCTGTTGTTTAATTGGACACTCAGCCTAAGTTAACTTGCATATTAGCTGCAAATTCAAATACACAGAAATATGTCTAAACACACTAAAAATCTAAAACTACTGCGGTTGCCCATACACAATTTTACAACCTTGTCCAACGTGTTTGCTGTTACTTCCTGTGGCCCCTGGGTCCCCTGGTGCCGAGGTTTGGCCGGAGCTCCTGTTGTTGTGCGCATGCGTGGGGTCGGGTAGGGAGGGGGCTGGTCGGGACCCCTGTCCAGCGCACGGTGTGGTCTGCGTTCACAAGTGACTTTGGGGATCTACGGAGCGCACGCAGGAAAGCGGAGGATCCCGTCCCGGTGGAAAATGTCTGAAGAAAGTGGATTATAATGGCGAAATTTAAAATGAAACTTTGTCAACGATGGCTTCTTTTTGTTTTGTTTATACCTCTATCAGGTAAGAGTTTGGGTTACACGTTTTCACTGTTTTGTGTACTATAGTTGACCAGCAGATCGTGATGAGATGTTGAACGCACGTAGCCTCATATACGCTTAGAATACAATACTGGTATATGTAGCATACACTATTTTATTGTTATAGATCCGGATTGATAATGATGAGAAAACTTAAATGTGTTTACTTAGACTGATATTTAGTTTGTGTTATTGTGCAAAACCGCTAATATTCTATTCTCTACGTTTTATGTGAGTTTGACTATGACTTTGGGTTGAGTGATACTTAAATTCTCATCATGACCATGGAAACAATTTACATTTAAGTGCCCTCTTTTGTTTTATTGCAGTAGTATTACCATCACTATTTGGTTATTATAATGCATTATGTTGCATTGACTCAATCAAATACCACTATTTGACATATATCTTAATGCACTGAATATACTCAATCATAAAGGCCTACATTGTTGTTATTGTAATGTGTTAGTTGACCTGTAAACTGCAATACATAGATTTTGATCAATCATTTGTGTACTTACAGGTCATACATGCTATATGATACAGGTTATGTAAGATGATCCACAATATCTGATCTACTGTTTTCTTTTCCTTGTCTTCCCAAAGGGGTTTTATGCTTTAGCGAGTTGTCCTTCATCACGGAGCCCAGTGATGTGACAGTGTTACCAAAGGACCCTGCTGTCCTCGACTGTCAGGCTCATGGGCAGCCTCCAGTCTCCATCAAGTGGCTTAAGAATGGTGCCCGGCTGGCAGAAAGCGAGCACATACACTTTCTGCCCAATGGCTCCTTGTACATACCAAAGACAAAACACACCGCAGAGGAATCAGATGAAGGATTCTACCAGTGCCTCTCTCAAAACAAATTTGGAGCTATCCTAAGCCAAAGATCTCATCTGACTATCGCAAGTAAGTAGGAGCTCAGTGTGATTTACATTCTCTGCAGGTTGACATTGACATTTTTGGTACCACAGGACTTAAGCAGCTTAGTGTTGTCTGGGGTTTTTGCATTGCACTGTGCACATTGTCAGCGTGCAGCAGGCATCAGAATGGCATGGGTTATTAACCTGGAGATGGGAAGCAGATGTACAATGTGCTAGCCATTTTAAAAGAGGAAAACCCTTAAATCTTTGTGTCGGTGTCACTGAAAGTTGTTCTGACCTGACAAAATCTGAGTTTAAATCTGTTTGTTCAGTTATAGGCCCTTTTTAAGAGACAGTTACAGGTAGATGGAGAGTCAATCAAGAAGCCAATAAATTGCCCATAAATAGAAAACTTTGACTTTACTATATGGACATGTTTTGCTAGCAGTGCCACTTGTTTGCCTGTAAAAGTGAAGGGAACACTTGCAGAAACTTCACATTGTCCACTCTGTTCTCAAAGTTTACTAGTTTAGACTCTGTATGATTGCTGAATGGTCTGCTACCCAAAGGAATCTCTCTGAGGCCATTTGCTTTTAGCTTTTGTTTGGAATGGCTCTGACTGCCCCAGAAGAAAAGACCAGGGTCCAGGGCATTTGTTTGTCCATGTATCAGTGGACAGGGCAGCTGTCCATTCAATAGGCCTCTCCTGCCATTGAGTCTTAAGGTCTTTGAGGGCATATCCCTTGGCTGTTGTCATGGAAACTAGTACAAGCTCCAAAAATATTAGATTTGACATTGACACTGAATTTTGACTTTGAAGAAAGTTACAT